TACCTTCATCTTTTTTATGTTTTTGTCAATCAACGTATCTTTATGAGTTAGACTGGATAGAATAATATTTGAAAGTACAAACTTTTCAGTGAGCACTTCTATTTTCACGTCAAAAATAATAAAAATGCAAATACTTTGTTGTCAAAATGCTCATGATGCTTAGTAAAACATCTCAGTTCACCAACTCCCCCATTCACTAGTACCTAACAAAGCTTAGGTATAAAATTTGAAAATACTCAAACAAAAGGAGAAAAATGTTTTTACCAGATCTAATGTTATTTGACAATATGTCAGCTTTTGTATAAATTGTTCAGCTTCTTTTGGGTTTGTATTGAAGTGCTTGGGAAATTTTAAGAATTCTTGTTACAAATAATATAATGAGAAAGAATGCACAGCTATGTAGTTCTAGTGAATTAATACAATAGCCTCCACATCCACCATCAACACACTTTGTTGCTGGCTTTCTATGCTGGAAACTCAGTCAAGTGGGGCTTCAGTTTAGTATCATCAGACTAAAACCCCCCGGTTTGTGTACCGCTAAAGTTGGAGCCATAAGATTCAGAATGCAGACAAATGTCTGTGCAGTTCCAGCAATTGTGAGAACCGACTGAGCGAAATGCAGGTACAACAAGGCACTGTGACCCAGCTGTTCGCACAAATTCACACACAGGGTCTGTGTCAATGAAGCTCTTTCTTCTCACAAACGAAATGTCTTTTCATCTCTATTTTTAGGTTCCTGGTACCTTCAACTTCTCCAGGTTGGTGATTTTGAAGAAGTCTGGGCTAAATGCGAAGTAAAAGGCCCAGGGTAGGTGCAAATTGATATTGCTTTAGCTGTGAGGGGAGTGAAGGTGAAATCTCAACTGCGAGTAGCACTCTGGGAAAACATGAGAATGACAGGCTTCTCGGTGTGGGAATTGAGTAAGCAAGGGCTACTCAATGAACACTGGTTCTTGAGGGTGTTAAAATGGATATTCCAATTCTCTTTTCTCTATGTAAGGCCCAAAAGTTTAGACCAAATTTCAAAGAATTTTTTTTTTTTTAATTATTATTTGGGATTTTTTTTTCTTTTTAAACATTTTATTAGGGGCTCATACAACTGTTATCCCAATCCATACACACATCAATTGTGTAAAGCGCATTT